TTAAAGCACTATGTGTTATTATTTTTTAAATCATCCCAGTTTCTATGCTTAGTTAATAGAATTCAAACACCAGAACCTGAAAATATCACCCCCAGAATATTTTTAAACATCACAAATCCATTTAATTCGGTCCAAGATGAAAGATGATCATTTCAGGTTTCAAAATATTTTCCACTATATTCTAACTAAAAGTTGCTTTAAATTAAGTTTTAACATCTTAGTATAAATTTTATAGTGAATTCGCAGTACGACCTTTATAGCTATTCAAATCAGCAGTAAGAGATCCTCAAATCCTGAAAGAATTTCCCCATACGGTTCCACCTACATTTAACAAGCTAATTATTCTAAACTGTAAAGCTCTCCAGCACAGAGACTGTGCTTATTTGTGCCAAATATTGTATTAGACTAGACATTACACATAAACATATTTAATTAATAATCCAAGATTTTATTTGAACACAAAAAGCTATTTGAATGACTGAATCATTCTAATCTAGCCAATTCAAAAAACAATTCAGTAAACACTAAGTATCTCCTAGGTGCTCAGAGTAAATAAAGATAAAGTAAGACAGCTTCTTCTCAAAGAGCCAAATAATTAAAAATTCAGGCATTGAACTCCCAAAGACAGACCATTAACAACCATCACAAGTTATCACCATGGTTATCCAGACTTCAGGTCATATGGGATACAATTCAACTTCAATAGCACATAACAGCTGGTGTTCTATATCTGTCTATAAGCTAGTGCTCAACTTCATATGTATGTTATAAATTATAACAATTCACATTTACATATGCCTCCCAATAGCCCTGGAAGATCAATATAGTAAGTTTATTCTCTCTTTATAGATGAGGAAACTACAGCTCGGAGGTCAGATGATGACATTGCCCACAGTCACACAGCCTAAATCCAACATGGTGGAATAGAATGTGAATTGGTTTCTAGAGTCAAAAGACCTAGGTTTATAAGCTGACTCTGCCCAGTTTGACTACTGTCAAAACACTTTCCCTTTCTACGCCTCAATTTCTTTTCTTTCTTTCTTTCTTTTTTTTTTTTTTTTTTTTTTTTTTTTTTTTTTGGTTAGGCAATAGGGTTAAGTGCCTTGCCCAGAGTCACACAGCTAGTAAGTGTTATGTGTCTGAGACCATATTTGAACTCAGGTCCTCCTGAATGCTGAGCTAGTGCACTATCCACTGCGCCACCTAGCTGCCCCTATGCCTCAATTTCTTCTGCTGTACAATAAGACTGCTATGCTAGAAAATCTCTAAATATCAATTACAATCTAAATTCGTGGTCTTAGGGTACTATGCATGTGTCACTCTCAACTCCTTACTGATTCTCACCCCTCATGTACAATATGCTAACAAGCCCTCATTTTACCTTCTCTCCTTGGACACTGCATCACCATAGTGTAGATTCTCATCACTTCACACCTAAACTATTGAAACTGCCTAATGGTTGGTCTTCCTGCCACAAGCTCTCTCCATCTCAGTTCATCCTCTACTCATCTGTCAAAGAGATCTTCCTAAAGAAAAGATCTGACCATCTCTCTCTCTCTGTGTCTCTCTGTCTCTGTCTCTGTCTCTCTTTCTCTCTGTCTGTCTGTCTCTGTCTCTCTCTCTCTCTCTCACACACACACACACACCCTCAACTTAATAAACTCCAGTGGATCCCTAGCACATCTAGAACAAATTAAAAAACCTTCAGCATTCAAAACTCTTCATAACCTACCCCTCTCCCTCTCCCATCTTTCCAGTCTTCTTACATCTTATACCACCACCACCCCCACACACCCACACATATGTATATAAGCATATTCTGAAAACCAATGACAGTGGACATACCATTTTCCAACTCCAGGCACTTTCCCTGTCTATCCCATGCCTCTAAGATGCTTTCCGTACTCATCTTCTTCCTCCTGGCTTCTTTGGCTATCTACAAGTGCCAGATAAAATTCTACTTTCCACAAGAAGCCTTTCCTGATCCCTATTAATTCTAGTGACTTCCCTCTGTTGATGATTTCCAATTTACCCCGTACATAGTTTGTGCATGGTTGTTTGCATGTTGGCTCCCCCATTAAACTGAGCTCCTTGAGAGCAGGGGCTGTCTTTTGTCTTTTTTGGTATCCCCAGTTCTTAGCATTGTGTCTGGAATACAGTGGGCACTCAATAAATGTTTACTGACTCACTGACTATACAGAGTCACTTGGACTCTGTATGACACAATCATCAAAAAAAAGGGGTTATCTCAATAAGACTGAATTCAATTACAACCTTCCTAGTTAAAAATTACTCCCACAAATTTTCATAGATACCACAAATGAATGAAAAGTACTGGGTTGGCTCTTTGTGGTAATGGCTAACAATGAAATAATTGTACATATTGTTCTATTCTAGCAACCCAAAGATGGCACTAAAATAAAAGGGAACACTGAAGACAGCCAAACAGTGATAAAATTCTTAGTTCTACCAGCACACCTAAAAGGATATGTACTGTATTTATAGTTCTCATTTACAAAATATTTTTCAGAGTACCTCAAAACATAATAAAAACAAAACACTGCTATTTTGTAATTTACATAGTTAATGATACTAATCAACAAACAAAAAAGGTGTTTATACTTTATTTTACTTGTGGTAGAATGACTTATTTTCTATCAAATCAACAACTTTTATAGAATACCTTACATACATTATCTCATTTAACAACCTAGCTTTTAAGAAGAAAAAAAAACCTATAAACTAGACTGATAAATCACTTGTGTAAGCAGGGTGAGAAGTCATTTTGAAATTAGCTACTTTTCTGTGGAAAAACTAGCAAAATAGCCTCCTCTAAAAATACTAATATTGAGTGCATTGTTTTTAGGCATAGATAAGTTATAGTGGACACATAAGACACAACTTTGTTATTTATAAGTAATAAAATGACACAGGAATGTGAGCTATTAAATGTTTACACATAAGAGGTTTTGTGAATTTACTACTCTAAAAAAAGCACCTTTTGACAAGATGGTCTCTTTGTTTTAATTGGTGAGAAAGTTATAACACAAGAAATAACACTAAATTTACAAGTACTAATACATTGAATTCAACAGCCTTAGAAACATTAACAAAATTATAGCAAACACATCTGGATTTGGAAATTTTTTTTCAATGTGAAATGCATAAGATGATACCCTACATGAGAGGATAAATTTTAAAAGACAAACTTTTGATTAACATTAAGAAAAATTAAAAATAAACATTCTGAGAAAAAAAACTTTGCCACCAAGCTATTTGGTTGCATTCAAAAAATAAAAATACAAAACATTAATAAATTATAACAACGTGAAAATTAATGGCTAAAAGGAGGTAAATTTTGGTGCCACAAAATTGTCAAAACCTGAATCAAATTTCACAGGGGGAACTTAGAGCAATTTCGAAATACAGTTCAAGTTCAATAAGAGCGTAAGAGATGCAGAAATTCTAACTTTTTGGGTACCTTCTCTTAGTACCTTATTAATATAGAAAAGAAGAAGGATCATAAATGGTTTTCTGCCTAAAACTGGTACCTGTGTAGAAATCAATAGGCATCTCTCTCATTTAACAAAAAAAAAAAAAAGTCTAGCATGCGTTTTTCAAATAGAACTGATTGGGTATTGCACAGTTACTACTCCGCACTCACTATATGTACACACACACATTTATATATGGTTAAATATGCATATACTTAAGAGGTCCAGCAGAGATAGGATCAAAACAACTCTTTAGCCTAAAATCAACAACTGTGAGGAAATATTATTTTACTAGGGTCGTGATATGGGGACAATTCCCTGGGACTTTGGAGATTTTGACAAACACAGAAGTGGTTAAAGCCAGGTCCAAAAACGTGAAGCCCTGATCGGGATAAGCAAGCGCGAGGGGTTTGCCGGGGAACCGCAGCGGCAGCTGCAACGCCTGACCCCGCTCGACGCCGCAGCGCAGGCTTATCCGCCCAGAACAGCTCCCGCAGGACACCCTTCAAAGAGACTCAGTCCTGCACTCGGAGGGAGTCCCTGTCCCCGGGCAAAGAAAGAAGCCCCTCAAGTCCCCAGCTTTCGAAGCTTTGTCAGCTCCTCATCCTCCCTACCTCCAATCCAAGAAGACCCCCTACTCCCTGGATGTTAGAAGAGCCGGGGGAAAGTGACTCTTAGAATTCCGTGTCCCCGCCCAAGTCACAAGGGAGAAAGAAGACAGGTCCTAAACGATGCTTCAAAACCATTTTCTTGCTACGGAAATCACGCAGTGGAGAAAGCACTGGACACGGGTTCTAGTCCTGATTCAGCTACTTGCGGGCTAAGTGACCCTGGCAAAAACCCTGCCCCTCTCTATGCTCCCGGCCACAAAACAAGGATAATACATGCGCTCTCGTCTCACAGGAATGAAAGAAAGCCCTTGGTCAGTCTTCTAAGCGCTAGAAAGATCTGAATAATTATTATTATTATGGGGGGAGGGGGGGACGTGCGGGGAAAGTGCTCAGCAAACAGTCCTAGATCTCCACAAAACCAGGCAGGAGCGAAGGGATGACGAACTAAGAAAAGTCACCCCCACGCCCGCCTGCCGGCCCGCACACGCTTGGTCACTGTCACAAGCGATATCCTGGTCCCCTGCGGGAGCGGCTGTCCCTAGTGATCACGCACGCTCACACACACACACACACGCCTGCAGTGTCGGACTCAGGCGTCTGGCTAGTCTTCCTTGCCCCCGGGCAGGCAGAGTGGCGCGGCGCCACCACCGCGGGGGACCAGCCCATAGCGCGGGCCGCCCTGGAGGCTGCCCGCCGTGCCCCAGGCGGGGGGCCGGAGCTCCGGGCTAAGCTGGCCCGAGCCTGCCACCGCCCACGTCCCGGTCCTCGCCTCGCCTCGCCCAGCGGGGCGCAGCGGCACGGGATAGGACAGGGGCGCCCGTGCCGGCCCGAGCGCGGACACACGCGCGCGCACCCACGCGCGCACACGCACTCCCTCCCCCTCGCACCTGCTCACCTTGGGCTTGTACAGCCACTTTCGGAACCTGTTCATCATCGCCTCCGCCGGCTCTCACCCGCACTCGCCCCCGGAGGAGGCGGCAGCGGCGGCGCCCCCGGCGACCGGCTGCCCAAGGGAGGCAGGCAGACCGAGGACCACGGCGAGGACGACGCGGACGACTCCACGGCGGGGACGGGCCGGCCGCGGCGGCTCCTCCGCAGGCTTGGTCCCGCAGGGCGCGGGGGCAGCCGCCGCCGCCGCCTCCGCCTCCTCTTCCCCAGCACTGAGCCCTCGGGGAGGCTCGCGGAGGCAGTGGGGGACGGGGTGCGCGCGGCGGGGCGCGCGTTGGCTGCGGGCGGGGGGAGGGGGCTCCCGCTCGGGCGCCGGCTCCAGCTGCCGCTCGGGTTCGAGCCCAGCCGGCGCGATCCCCGGCTCAGCCGCCTTCTCTCCCTTCACTGACAGCCCCAAAACATTCCACAGTCACGGCGGTCCCGGGGGTTGGGCACATGCGCCGTTCGCACCGGAAGCCCCCCTCCCCTGCGCTATCCAAGCTCGTCTGAGGCGAGGTGTTGGGAATTAGGGGTGGGAGTCACTCCTCGCAACGTCGCGCGCTCCCTCCCACCCTAGCTTTACAGAGCGCCCAACGCCGCGCATCACGTTTCTTCTGGGTCTGGAGAAGCTCCCCAGCTCCTCTTCTGAGGGAATCAGAAACCAAGGCAAATGACAAGCTTTGCTGGAAGAACTACAAGCCCCACGATGCACTGCGAAAATCGAGCTTCTCGGGCACTGTTTTCCTTCTGGAGAAGAATACGCTGGGAGTTGTAGTATTCGCTGGAGCGCCTAATCTGCGCCTTGCATTCTGGGGATTGTAGTTACTTTGCAAGGCGGGGTGTGGGGGGAGGGTTTTCTTTTTCACTCCTGGCTTCGCGTTCTGGTTGCTGGGCGACGGCGCACAAACAAGCGTTCCTTTCGTTCTGCTTACCGTTTGAGTAGTTTTCTCACATCCCGCTGAAGCAAAGAGCGAAAGGGTGATGGACCACAGTTCCCAGAAGACCGCGGTCTCGCTAACCTAGGCAACGCTGGTGGTTGTGTAGACGCCAAAGGAAGATTCTGTGAGTTGGAGCTGAGCAACAGGTGTGCTGACCTAATCTGTAAGGAAGAGTTCACTGTTGGGGAAGTCAAGTCCAGGATGGTGGAAGGAAAGGGGGTGCCTGGGAACCAGGTTTTTACGCCGCTCACCTAGCATCTTTTTGACACTGACTTTCAATTATTTAGGAACTGGGCTGTCCCCTTTTTGAGGGTTATTCAGGCGTCTGCCTCATTGAGACCACCCACCTGTATTTCTGAGCTCTTCCCTGCTTATTCTCAGGTACCCTTCCCCCTGCCCCAAAAGTCTAACCCCTTGGGAGATGCTGATTTTAAGAAATTTAAATAATTGTATTTAAATCTGTTTCATTTTCTTCATCTGTAACATGAGATGGGTTGGACTCCATGGTCTTTGAGGTTCCTTTCAGATCCAAAGTCTTAGGATCTCGTGATCCTAAGCAGTTTTAGGGAGCCTTTAACCAACTTTGCTCTACTTATGTTCATACCAGAGGGTATGAACTCTTTAGAGTTTAACACATCTAAAATGCATGATACAAGAAGTTGTTGGGAATAGTGAGTGACTACATTCTTTATATAAATTCTTTAAGCCTGAAAATGAACCATCTCCCTATATTTTGTCTGAATCTCACCTTTATGGAGTCATAGCCTACTTGGACTATTTATAAGGGCTAATCTTCCTGCTAAACTGCAGGCTCTTTGAAGGCATGGACTTGAATATAGTAGGAGCTTGTTAAGTAAGTGTTAACTTAGTGATAATGATAATTATCATAAATAACCCCATACATTCGTGCAGAACTTCAAGATTTTAAAAGAGTAGCAGTAGGTAGGCTAAAGTGAAGGCCACCCTTTGGAGGCAAGGTTGAAAACTTGGACATGGTCACTTACCAAGTAGGGATTTGAGTAGACTGTGATACATCGCTAATGAGGAATTTCACAGGAGAAGCCTCTTCAAGGATGTCACCAGAAATATGTATGACAAGAGAAGAAGGTAGTCATATCATGTGCAGAGAAGGAGGAATGACTGATGCCCAGCCCAGTTTCTCCTTTGCTACTCACAGTAACATAAAGAGATCAGAGAAAGGCGCTCACCCTGACTGGTAATGCCCTTGCAGAGAATTTATGGAGGACATGGATACAAAGGCGTGGCATGAATCTTCATGAATAGAGGGAGTATCTAAATCAATGAAATTGCATAGCCATCAAAGCACTCAAATGAGATCCTTGCTAATGGAGGTCCAGGTAGAGCACTAACAAGTGGGGAGGGAGCAGGACCAGAAGCCAGGCTTTACAGAGGAGGCAGTATCTGAGGTGAGGCGTGAAGGAAAGTAAGGTGTCTCAGAGAGAGAAGTGAGGAGAAAATTTATTCCAGGTATGGTGGAAGTGCAATGTGAGGTCTAAGAATCATTGTTACCAATTGGGGAAATTTAGAGAAGGCTCCCTGGAAAAGAAGGCATTTGAATTAAGTTGTAAAGAATGATTAATAATTAGGTAGTTAAGGTAGGGGAGGTGGCATTTCAGACATGGAGAACAGAGCAAGCAAAAACTAATGCAGAAGAGTTCAGGTCTTTTTAGAAGTAAGAAGAGCTGGAACTTCCAAGATGAAGTCGTTTCTGGGGCATAGCTGAAAAAAATCTGGTGCGTAGCCTGGAGAAAAGTGCAGATATGGCTGATCTAGGCATCCTTCTTAAACAGAAGCTCTGGGAGAAGCTGTCTAATCAGAGGGAGAGGCCACAGGGGCAGAAGGTGTTCCCAGTGTGTGAATTCTAGGGTTGGAAGTGAGCTATCAGGATGAAGATATTTCTGGGGCATGGGAGAAAAAGTAAGGAGTGGAGCCTGGAGAGGAATGAAGCGTATAGAAGAATAATAAGAAAATAAAAGTTTGGAACAGGCGTAATGCTACCAAATTGGTGGGGATCCTTGAATACCAACCAAAAGCATTTAAAATATACTTGGTAAGCAGTAGGATGCTACTTAGGATTCCTAGACAGAGAACTGGCATGACCAGATCTATACATAAGACTTAGTGTGTTGGCAGCACCATGAAGGATGAATTGGATATTTGAAAAAGCAGAGACTGTTTAGGAGGCAACAGTTCAAGGCAACGGTAGTGATGGCTTGTACTGGAGGGGTGGCAGTGGTAATAAAGAAGAAGAGACAGATAGGAGTTGTTTCAGAGATAGGATTAATCAGACTGGAGAACTGATTGGAAGGGGGTGGGATGGGGAGAAAAGCATTGGTCAGAGATAACCCCCAGTTTACAAAAATGCCTCCTCCTCTGGTTGTCAGCTGTCACTTGATCCCTCTGTCGTTGTATTTGCAGCTTCTAATTCTGTTGCTTTATTTTACACGCGGTTGTCTGGACAAGGGTGTCTTTCTGTTTCTCCAGCTATTTGCTGCTTAGTTAAGGCCTTTTTTCGTTTACTTCAGAACTTGAGATTGTTCTGGGCAGATGCGGTTGCTGGAAGGCAAGACTTCTGAAATGAGCTTTGGTCGTGTCTTGGAAAAAACTCATTGGATTTGAAGTCAAACTGAATCCTAGTTCTGCCCCTAATGAGCTATATGACTATAGGAAAGTTACTTAACCATGCATAGTAAGTATTTAATACATGCTTGTTGACTTGATTTTATTTAACCTCTAAGAGCCTCAGATTTCCTATCTGTAAAATAATACTTGTACTACCCTCCTCACAGAGTTCTTGTGAGAAAGGAGCCTTATAAACCTCAACATATATGTCTATGCTCCTTTATTACTATTCCCTGTATATTGATATATTACATTATTGCACAATAATGCCATTTATTTATTATCTGTAACCAGAACAGCATTATAGCTTCTTTTGGCCTATCACCATTTTATAATATGAGGCTCCCTCCTAGAATATTATTTTTCCTAACATCATAGAATCACAAAACCACAGAGTTGGAAGGGATTTCACAGGGTATTCAGCCTTATCCGTACCTAAGCAAGAATCAACCTTACACAATCCCTGACAAGTGATCATCTACCTGAATACCTCCAGGGATGGGAAAGCTTCTCATAGCAACTCTTTCCAATTTTGAATAGCTCTCATTCTTAGGAAACTTCGTTTTCTTTTTTTTTTAATTTTTAAAATAAAATTATATTGATATCTTTTGCCTTTACATGACCCGTATTTCCCAATATATCCTTCTTCCATCCCAAATAGCCATTTCTCATAATAAAGAACTAAAAAGGAGAGAAGTACCACAAAACTGACACCAAAGAAAGGCTGCTATTTTACGTATTGTTCCACATAGAGGAGGTGCCTTCTCAGATCTCTTCCTCAGACTCAGTCTTGGTCATTAAAATTTCTCACCATTTCATTTTGTTTGATCGTTGCTGTTTGTTGTTATATTGTTATAGTCATTGTGTGTGTCATCTTCCTGACTCTGCTTACTTCACCTTGTATCGTTTCAAGTAACTCTTTCTATGCTTTAATGTATTCATCAATCAGTATTTCTTAGAGCTCAGTAATATTCCATTCCGTTCATACACCACTCCTTGTTTATTCATCCCCTAAGAGATGGGCATCTATTTCATTTCCAGTTTTTTGCTGACATTAAAAAGTTTTGCTGTAAGTATTTTCATTTACATGGGGGACTTTCTTCTTATTGTTAACCTCTTTGGAATATGTGCGTAGCAGTGGAGTGTCTTAGTCAAAGAGTTTAGCCATTTTCATTACTTCTCATAATTCCAGATAATATTCCAAAACTGTCGTATCAATTCACAGCTCCACTAATAATTCATTAGTTTGCCTATCTTTGCATAACTCCTTCAACATTAACTTTTCCCATCTTAGGTCTTCTTTGCCAGTTTACCTGGAGTATAGTGAAACCTAAAGAGTTATTTTGATTATCATTTCTACTAGTTGGTTTATCTGTCTTATCTATCAGACCTTTATCAGGTCTATTTAAATATTTGGTACAAAAATTTTTCCAGTTGACCACTTCCTTTCTTTTCTTGATTGTATTAATTTTTTTCATGCAAAGGTTTTCATGTATTTGGGATTTTTCATTTTACCTTTTGTAATCACCTCTTTCCTTTGTTTGGTGAATGATTCATCCCCTAGCCATGGCTGTGAAAAGCATGTGACCTGTTTGTCTTCTAATTTTTTCTTATGTTATGATCTTTAATATTCAGGTCATGTATCTGTTTTGAATTTATTGCAGCATATGGTATAAGGTGTTGAGCTAAACCTAATTTCTGCCATGCCACTTTCCAGTCTCCTCAGCTCTTCTTGCCAAATAGAGAGCTTTTCCCTAGGTAATTTATATTTTCAGATTTATCTAACACTGGGTTATTGAGTTTAATTATTTCTGTTTCTTTCCTCTCTAGTCTATTAAGAAGTTTCGTTTTCAAAGAGCCACTTAACCAGTGTGTGGATTGGGTTTATATAAATGCGCATTTGTTAACAAGGTTTTTGTATATCTTTTAAAATTGAGTGGTGGATTTAGGGGTATGGAGGCTAGCAGTAGTGTGGCAAGGGTCATTGAAGCATTAAAAGAAAATGCACAGAAAAGAACAGGAGGAAAATCAGGAAGAAACAGAAAAGCAGAACAGTTTTTAATGTAACATGGCAAATTTGTTATATGTCTTTTAAAAAGCAAGTTGTATGTAATAGAGATTCACAGATTCCTATATAGTCATCTTTTTTGTTCTACAGTATATATGGAAATGTTGTTGTTGTGTTTGTCCTTCATTCTTGAAGAGCACTGTGACATCAGAGAGATGATGACATGACTTGCAATTGACTTTGATTTGAGTGAGGGAGGACTGTGCAAAGTCAACAGCCTCACTTTCTCCTCCAGAGCCCTCTGGGTCCAGTGGCCAGATATTCATCAGGACAACTGGAAATGGCTCAGGATGCAATGGGAGACCTTGGCCCTTTTAAGCTAAGGTCTTTTCAGGTTCTCATGAGTGAGGTAACGCCCATTCAATGAAAAGGCCCCTTTAAGAAGTGAGCCGAGGGATGGCCCCTTTAAAAAAAAAAAGCAAACTGGGAAAGACCCTCAGGGTTGCTGGCCAAAAAGAGAAACAGTTACTATTTACATTCCCTCTGAGCAAGGGGGCCCAAAAAATAACGATTAAGTGGTGCTTGGGCAGGGACCTATTGCTGTCCAATCTATGAGCTCCACAGTGAACTGGGTTTAAGGCTTGGTCTTTGAGAAAGAAATCTAGCCAGTAGACCCCAGAGAGGAGAGGGAGAGTGAGAGGGAAACAGGACCACGAGATGAGTTACCCAA